AGTTATATACCAAGCCCTACATATTTAGCTGTCTAAGTACAACATATGTATGTATGTATGGACGTTGATAGCAACTTACCTTTCCACACATCCGAAGTGTTAATTGCTGTGACATGACAGTTTGATTATATTAGTGAAAATCAAAAATGTCAATATGCAAGTCCAAAGTGCCTTCCTTTATGTATGTATGTAAGTACATGTGTAAACATGTTGCAAAACGTATCCGAGTCTCGTTGTCACATCGTTGAACCAATTAACGTACGTAATTTAATTCAATTCTCCAGGCTAGTCAAAGGCAATTTTCACCATTAGCAAAGGGGATGGCTACTTGGCAGTCAGGCAGGCAGGCATGCGATCGAACAAGTTTTAGCAAGTTTTTTCATATGTACATAATTAAATTATGCTTTGCTCTCGCGAACAGAAAGCGAATCCGTACAAATAAACAAATTGATTGCAAGAAATTTTACAAAATTCGTCTCAGCACGTTGTAAGCGTGAATGCCCGCAATGTAATTGTAGTCGCATTTAAAACTCATTAAATTTTGAAAATACAAAAAAAAAATATAATCACAAGCAGACAATTTTTGATTTAAAAAGTTCTAAAGCCATAAATAACAGTCAACAGACGCGTAGCCCCGATCTTTTCTAGGCGAAATATTTCCGGTGTTTCACAAATACACACACACACACACACACACACACACACACACACACACACACACAACACATAATTGCAATGCACAAATCATTTGAGAAGATTTGTTAGAAATACATCTGTTCGTTATTGACAAAGCGTAAATAAAAATTCATACATACCCAGTACGGCATCGCTCAACCGATTTCCTCAGAAAAAGTAACTTATTTCTGCTTATATAGCAACTGACTTTAAATCTATATAAACATATAGTATGAGAAGGGATTTTTTGTCGAGGTCATCAGAACTGCACTGTTCGTTCGATTTTCAAAAATGAGAGGTCAAATTAAAGACCTTGGCCTTTACTTGTGCGATAAGGTTTATTTTATTATTTCAAGTTAAATTTTTTTTGAAATTTTTTTAAATTAAAAAACCACACTATGAGAGACCTCTCTTCACTCGGATCGCTTATTTATAACTCTGACTACCATTTGAATAATTTTTAGGTTTCCGAAAACTCAATTTTGGGCGTTTTAACCCCAAACCAAATTCTTACTCATTTTAAGAAGCAATTTGTGTCTTGGAAGTATAAAAAAGCATCTGTGAAGTGCAAAACGAAAGCGTATTCAAACGAAATATACTGACTTTCAAGGCCTTTAAGCCAAATGCATTTTAAGGTATGTAGTTGAAATCAAATGCAGAGTCGGATAACTGACTGCTTCCTAGGGCATCGCCATGTTAAATAAATACATAGTTCGTTTCAAGGAAGAAAATCAGATCTTCAATTAGTTGTGGTGGGTAAAAACTGGTTGAACATCAATATTTATACTAGTTTCTTTCCGTACTGGGTATGTACATTAGGGTGGTCCGGAAATGCATGAGCAAAAGGTAAGTCGGAATTTTATGCTCTCACCCCCTAAGATTGTTCTATGTATACCGAAAAAATAAACCCCATTTCAACAACGCTTTTATTTATTTAAAAAATCAAAAAATATTTAGAGGTCGCTCAAAGCGATCAAAGTTTTCCATGTATTTTATATTATTATTAACTTTTCGTAGAAATGGTATAGCATTTTTGAAAATCAATATTTTTCGATCAGAAAACTCTGTTTCTTTTCATGGGGACTCCCAATAATAATACTCAATTATTTAAAAAATTTTGCATAGTAACTATATTTTATATGTCCGCTAAAACCCCCAGAAAATGCTAGAAAAAGCAATGGGGGGATAAATTAAAAATCTGTAGTATTAAAAATGGTTAAATAAACAATTGAGTATGGTTATTGGAAGTCTTCTGAAGAGAACCAGAGTTTTCCGATCGAAAAATTTTGATTTTCAAATATTATATACCATATCTATGACTAGGTTTTTCCCCAATATAAAATACATGGAAAACTTTCGAGCGCTTTGAGCGACCTCTAAATATTTTTTGATTTCAAAATATAAAAAAATAGCATTAAAATTCCGACTTCACTTATTTTGGACCACCCTAATGTGCATACATATGAATGTATTGAGCGAAATAAAAACACTTGTACGAAATTGTGTTTTTTCTTGTTTTATTTTCGTTTTGCTGATATCTCGTTGTTGATTGAAATGCCTCTTTAATTGGCCAGCAGCAACATACATATAAACATAGCCGTGTACCGCTTGTCGTCTATCAACAAATAAGCCATCAAATATAAACACATATCTACACACACCTACAATCATACAAAGTCACATGAATGCTTTTATGATAACGAGACAACAACCGACGACGATCGACGATCTCAGCCTACAGCGGCCACAAGCAGCAAAAGCGCAGAAGCGAAGGGGCGCCAGTAATATGGGGGCGATTATTCTACATTTTACTGAACAACAAGGAGCCTCCGATAGTGGAGGTCAATCGGTTGCAGTTGTTGTTGTTGTTGCTCTCATTATCATATGCAATAGCGCGGAGCGAAGAATATGGTTCGCTAATCTCAGTTCAAATAAAGGCAGTTGTGGGATTACATATTTACTAAGTTACAAACAATGTGTAGCGAGTATGTGTGTGTGTGTGTTTGGCATTTAAGTTTTGTAAACAATGTAGTTGTATGCAATTATTGCTAATTAATAATAAGCAGTATAATCGCAAAAGTGTCACTGAAGCGCAGCAAGAAGGCACCACAAACGTCATGGAGCCGGAGTAGCAAATGGGTACATATATCACCCTTTGTTTAAAGGTTTAAATGCATATTGCAAATTTTAATGATGTGCCAATAAAAAACATTTAAGTGTTTGCTATTCAGTAAAACACACAAAAATGGCAGCGGAAAAATGTTTCTAATACAACTCAAGTGATAAGTAAATTAATACTGATTTTATATGAGAGAACAACAAAACGGGTCAGTATCGAGAAAATTTATCGAATTCAATTTCACAAGCTTTTCTGTTAGTGCTCAATAATCTATCTAGATGCACCGGGAGTAGAGTACCTAACAAATGTTACTTTTCTGATACGTTCTAATATATGGTATGTATTTACATAGGAGTAGATACCAAAAAGTAACATTTACATATGCAAATACATATCGTGTAACAGGGCTCTTATATACATATCCATACAATATACCAATGCATATACATTCTACAACTATGTATGTATGGGAAAACAATTTTGTCGATGGTGTTATTATCATTGTACACGGCTACACATGCGTACTCATAAATCCTACGTATTTCCCTCAGCTTTTTGCGCATCAAGCCAAGGAGAGTTCAAGCTTGCGAGCGTCAGGCATGTTGTTAAGTATGAGTATGATAGATACCTTTTGCTTAAGGGTTGATATGACGTTCGAGAAGGGAATTTTAATAAGTATGAATGCATATAAGTAGAACGAATTATGAATGGTGAGTGGGATATAGTCAGTTTGATCATACTCGCTGCGCTTCTCTGATACATACCTACATAACTATGCAAGACCTTCAAAATGGTTAACTACGCTATTCTGTTTTAGTACATCATCAAGTCCTCGCTTCCCCATCAGCATGAAGCGCTGGGGTGTCAGCTACCTACTAAACTACTCCGCCTCAGAGTGGATGATTGGGAAAAGCGACCCTCACTGGACTCACAACATCGATCTTCGAAGCTCGATTGGATGCCTCCCCGTGCCTCGTCCCATGACCACCTTCACGATGAGGCGGAAATGTGGGAGTCAAAACTTATTATATAACAAACCTCCTCAACCATAACCTAAGTTACAGAACGATACCACCACGCCATGTTAGGAGGCATCTCGGCATGTAGCTGAGCATGCGCAACATTCACCGCATCCCAAGCCTGACTTTGGCCATGCTGATGCAGTAGGCTGAACTCTTACGGAACCGCGATTGATCCGGAAATAGCAGACATATCCCTAGCCTGAGGAATGTTCCGAACAACACCACGAACCTCTCTGCACGCCCAATGAGCCCAACCATTTGCCACCTGAGACGATATGAGCCCAACCAAGGGTAGACGGGGAGGGCGAATGAATGACAGCCAATGCTGCTAAAACAACAAAAACAATTTTACCACAAAATCGATTTGACACTATTTATGAAAATGACGTTTGGCAAGCGTGATTGAAAAAACTTGAGGATCTTCGCTTTACAGAAGTTCGCTTAGGAGGAGCTAGACTGTAAAACAAATTTTCCTATACAACTTCCTTTCATACTGTGGGACTCTCTCTAATTCAAACAAATTATAAACAATTGATAAAACACACACCAAGGTTTAGATATAAAATACAAATACAAATATTTGTGTTTAAAAACCTAATACTGCCATCTTGGACGGAGTAAAAGTATAAAGAATAAGAGTAAACTTTAAGGCAAGTGATAAATATAAAACTGTAAACAGCGCTCAACTAACAGAATACATTTTTCCGGCCTTTAGACACACTGAATGTATCGTACAAACAAATCGTACAAACTAAATAGAGGAGAGTATTTTTAAACAGTTAAATATTTGTAATACTAATTTTAACGTTACGACCAAATAAACATCAACAGCCAAGAGCAGCTGTGCAAAATGCGCAGAAAACGTGAATTATACAAACAATTGGAATGGCAAACAGGAACATTTAATAACAGCAAACCAGAATGAAAAGGGGACAATTATAAACTACATTTATAAGTTAATAAATTAAGTAATCTCTCCCCGTTGATAATCAAAAGTAAAATAGAAAAGGTAAACATGTGAAGGGAACGGTAAAGCAAAAATTTCTCAATCTTTTAGTTTTGTAATGAGTAGGCATTTTGTTAAAAAAAAAAAAAACTTGTTGTCCAACTAAGAGGTTCTTTTACAAATTTGCATTATAAGCATCTGGCCACATTTTTTTTTTATATTTTTTTCTCGTACTCACCCGACATGAAATGCAACAGAATCGATGTAATCGGATACAATACTGGACTGTATGTAATATCTGGACAATCATAGCCTAATACATTCACAATACGATCGGCCACCGCGCGTCCGGTGCGAGTAAGGTGAAAGGTTAAACAGTGAGCGGGATCGACGAACGCGGGTAACATAATCGGTTTTTCAGATAGCTCTGTTGTGCCGAAGACCTGTAATGAAGCAGAAGAAAAATAAACCAAAAAGTGTATACTAGAACTGTATTGTTGTTACTTATAGAAATTAAGATGATAACGACCGACTATTTAAGTTGACTACTCAGGGTTAAGCAAGTCAAATGTTATTGAATTGAAATGCTCCCCCGCCCCCCCTACCCACTCACCTGATGCACCATGTCCCAGTAGAAACCATCCAACATATTCTGTTTCGTCTGATGTTGGGCGCATAGTGCTGGCCACAGTTGTGCACGTATGGGTGAGTTGATGGGCCATGAATTCTCACGCAGAATACTCTTCACCTCTCGCTTTTTGCCTTGCTGGAGTAGTTGTTGGATTTCGGTGAAAGAACGCAAGGCTGGTTCTTTGCCTTTAAGTAAACAAATAAATAATGTGGAATGCATTAATTAAATGTATGGCTAAATGTTTTTAATAATAAAAGCAACAAATATAAAGAGGCAGTAACGGACGCATCACTGAAGGAGGCCTGATACATGTTTTACATAATTTTTTTTTGCTGTTTTTTTTTTGCTATTTTTAACATAGAGAAAGTAATTTTTGTAGAATACATACATAAGTATTGCCTTTTCCATTTAACAGTTATTAACCTACGTACATACCTAGTAGGTATTATTGAATTTCAAGTACTTAAATAGATTTCCAAAATGTGACAATGTCAAAACATTCGAATTGATGCGATTAGAAATACTGAGCTAATAAGATGGGCGTTGTCGTGGATTTTTGGCAATGAATTTTTATTTAAAATAATTTGTATAAATAAGAACATACTTATATTGTCAATCCTTATCAATCAGATACTGGCATATACTCTTAAAAAATCAAACTATGACGATATTGCTGACGACAACTGGCAGAACCACGGACGTTTCAGTACTTTAATGACTCAGTACTTTAATGAAAGCGGTTATTTTTTTTTTTTTTTTTTT